TGAATATTATCACATATGTTCTGATTTACAATGGGAAATAGTGATAGCTTATATAGAGGAAATAAGCAACGGTTGCCTATGCTCTAATCTAATGTTGACCTACTGTACAATACTAGGAGTTGGTGAAAAGTAGAGTGGCTACTTCTCTGAATACAGCTGCTCCTTTTTTTTTTTTACCTAAAATGGCCTATGATGAAATGACCCTTCACAGGTCTGAGGTCTGTGATAAACTGATGCTTTCACTTGATCTGATGTCTTTTTAACACAGCCAATGATGAGCTTAAGATCTGAGGCTATTGTGTTTACTAGTTCTTTCAACAGTTACTTATTAAATAATTTTACTATTTTAGGCTTTGGCAAACATGCTCATAACTGAAATGAACAGATTGGACCTGCTCTAGTTTTTTAGTGTAGAACTGATGAGGGAATGTCTTTTCTCTTAATGCAGATGTGGATTGCAAAGCAGAATATGATGAATCTGGCCCTTCCATTGTACCCCACAAATGCTTCTAATTCTTCGGTATCGACGGGGAAGAGTAGTAAGCTTTGTTTTGAAATATAAGTCCTACTTACAGGTTCTCTTTAACTCCTATATCAAATATCTGGCAGTCTTTGCCCTTTAATTCTAATTCATCGTTATAAATAATCGCTGTTGTTGATTCAAATCATTATTCCCTTCAGAGATTCAACATGTTATTTCCTTATCTTAGAATGCATTGAATGAGAGCTTTTTTTCTTCTTTTTCTCAATTATAAATACCATGACATTATGTCAGATATTTCTCATGAGCATGTTTGACACGTAATACTAGACGATTTGGCACTACATGAATATAATTTCTTGAACTGCAATTTGCTAAATCCAAAGGCCTAAACTGTAGACTCCGTAAAGAATTATTATAAACTGGTTTTTGTACCTAGTATTGCAACATGATGAATTGGCACTCTTACTCAAGTAGATCTATATAGAATTGGACAAATCTCGAAAGATATGAAAGATTTCCCTCCAGGCCCTACATATGACTTTCATCGAATACGTCTTTCCGCATAATTCTATAAAACATAAATCATGATCAACTAAACCGCTCTCAGGGAACTTTATGTAAATACTATGGAGAGACATTTTGTCCACAATATTTTATGATATTGTGCTTCGGACAGATAGATTTCAACTTATTTCTTCTTTGTTTCCTTCTAATCCAATGTCTCATGGCAGTACATTATTATTATTACTATAACTGAATAATTCATAAAATTAATCTATTCAATAAATGGATGACAATAATTACTAATAACAAAGTGAGCCTAAAGTAAGGAGAAATACTAAAATAAATTAGACAACTTTCAATGTCCAAAAGGCCCATATAATGTTGGGAAATTTTAGTAGGATTATATTATAATGGGAACAAAATGATTAAGCATGAGAGTGCAATTATACATGTGCCATGAGAGTGTGTGCACTTTAAATCGAAACCTTCATGCCCCCACCATCATAAAAGGCTGCGTAGCTTTATTGATTATTTAAGTATCAATTAGTACATGTACATGTTCATATACTGAAATCACCCGCCAAGAAATAAAAAAAGGGTGATTTTTTTTTTTTATAAACGTGGAACAGTCCTGGTCGAACGTGCGTGGACGACTAATGCCACGAGTCCCTGAAGTTTACGGTCGGATACTCACCTCAGTGGCCCTAAGAGGACTCGAACTTGTGATCATTGAAAAACAAACTCAATGTCTGATCAATTGAGTAACCCCTTAAGATTAAAAAAAAAGGGAGATAGTTTTATCTATTTTATGACAGTAATCAATTATATTTAAGAAAACAAACAAAAATGGAACCCAAATGGACTCCACATCACCTTAATTTCATGGGCATACCACAAATCGTGGTGATCAAGTTTCTTCTTAGCCATAAATTTCATCATTCATCATCTCTTTAGACTGATGATTGTAATCATGAGCTCCACCACTTTTGGTAACTCTCATATTTATGAAGTTATAGGAAAATGTTGTACTAATTAGGGGTGTCCAAATGTCCCGAATCGAACCGAACCCGAACCGAACTGAACCGAACCGAGCGTTTCTTCATAAATTAAATACCCGAACGGGTACCCGAATCGAAAACCGACGGGTTTGAGTCGGGTCTCGGGTCTAGACCAAGAACCGAAGAACCGAAACTAAATAAATTTTTTATTTTTTATATTGAATTAATTAAATTATTTTATTTTTTTATACAAATTAACAAATTAATTAAATAAATCAGATTATTTTTTAATTTTAATTTTAATTTTAAAGCCCAAATCATTTTTAAAACTCATTATCCCATTTTAATTTGAAACAAATGAATATACTTTATGTAGTTTTGCTGTAATATTAACATCTACTTTTTGATATTTGTATACATTGAATTAATCTTATTGAACGGCTAGTTATTTATATGTTTTTGAATTG